AGTACTTCATAACAAACAAGGCCCCCGGGGCCCGCCCCCCCCCCCCCCCCTCCTTCAACATCCTCTCCCTGAAACTCTACTTCTCCCCTGCCCGGACCATCAACTTTTCATACCGCGTCTCCTACGAATCAACTCGCCCCCCGCCCCCCACAAATTCATACCCCTTTGTCCTCAGCTCAGATTGTTAATTATGCCAGCCACCCCCCCCCGCCCCCCCCCCTCGAAAACTCTCTCACGCACAGCTCTTGTCTGCTTCCGCCGTACACGCAGCGAGGCTCTTTTGCTGGAAAACGTGCTCCGGGCTCATAACCCGCGTCTCCCATCCTGCTGCGACCAGTTGCCCTCGCCATTTCTCGACGCCGTCGCTCTCATCTTTCCCCCCTCACGACCGTCGTCTAGTCCCCATCCCCCATGCCCCTATGCACTTGCATGTGCTGTTATGTGCATTCTTGTTGCACTTTCGCTATGAACGTATCTCCACTCTGCATCTCCCTCCGGACATCCTCACGCATCGCTCTCCTCACCTCATCCGCAGACCCCCGACCTGCTTTCTCCTGGCACTCCACTCGATAACACAAGTTTTTGGGCTATTGTCTATTGTACTCTTGATCTATGCCGCGGAGCAAAGCGCCGTCCGGATAGCGTCGATTAAGGATAATAAGCTGATGGTGAGACTTATAGTGCTCTGCATGCTTTAATGCTCCCATGGAGCTCATGTCTGTGTGACTCTCCGACAGCGTGCAGAGCTCCTGGAGAACATTAGAGGCTGAAAGTGCACTCCCGGACACTGCACTTTTCAAGCCGTCTTGCAGCCCGTCTGTGGATACGACCCCCTCCCTTTTCGGTCGGCTGAATACGACCCCCTCGTTGTTCTTTGCGCAACGCAGGGTTGACCCTGCCTCGACCCTCTATCAAGATTATTATGTTATCTCTTTCTGACCCCCACCTAGTATGTTCCCTACCCACTCCCTATATCATGTTCAAAATACAGCCCTCTATCGTTGCAGGGAAGCGAGCTATGAATTTCGTGACACACGCACACAAACAGACAGACATAGCGCTTTATACATAGTAGGGATAGGAACCCTTACCACTTGTCCTCGTCTGTGCACAATTTCTGAAAAAAAGAGGGCACTGTGGATAGCAACTGTAAAAATATCCTCCTATTCACTCTTTGCATCTAGAATGTTCAAAGCCCGGGGGGTGATGAAGTAGGGTATCTTGCTCGATTGCGAATAAATAGAAGACGGTCTGCTAGGCAGGAAGCTGGTGGTAACTATAACATTGATTAACTTTGGATATGTGAGGAGTTCTGAATGTTAGTATCGGAAGCGAATAGTACATATGACTAAACCTTGTAACACATGGATGATCAGATTTTTTGAGAAGAGAACTCCGCCGCCTCGCCAAGTGCCGTTGGCACATGGACTGCCCAAACGCCCCAACGTGTTGCGCGCCATCTGTTTCCCCCCCAACGATTGGTTTTCGTATCCCCCCCCCCCCCGCCCCCCCGCACCTAATTAACATATCCTCTCGTGCCTTCTAACTTCTAGCCGTTTTCAACGCTGAATTACCCCCCCACCCCCCCCCCCCCCCCCACTTCGTTGAAAGAGGCGCTCTGCTTCAGGGACGTCTCTTCCTCGGAGCACAATTTTTCCCCTTCCTGGAAGAGTTGCATACAGCCCTTTAAGGACCGTCAATCGCATGCTATATTTTCATTTGTGTTATTGAGGAGAGCCTCGCGCCCCCCCCTCGCTCATCTCCTTCTCCATTCTGTTCTTACCACTTCTCTCCAGCCCCCTCTCTGGATCACTCCAGCTTCGCCAGCCCACGACTAAGCCCTCCCACACGTCCCGCGCCGCTCGGTCACCCCCCCCACGCCCCGCTCGCCCAGTGTCTTGTGGTCACGTTTTTCACCACAGCCTCGACACAGCCTCCTCCACCAGCCCATCTCTTCACGTCGGATCTTAATACTGCCCCGAAGCCTCTCCGCCGCTCACTCCGAGCCACGATTGTTAATCGACCACCATGCCGCCGACTAAATTATAATTAGAAAATTTCACGAAAGTTCAAAACGTTTTCCCATCAGCGAGGAGTACTGGAAAAATGCGAATATGGAAATAACGCGTTGTTGTTTCTTGCACTTAATTTTTTAGGGCAACTGAGTCCAAAATAAGTCCGAAAGTAACTCCCGCATGAAGTTTAATGACGTATCTTTTGCAGTTTTCAAGATCGCCATGTGCTACGGGTCAATACCGTTCCTCCAGTAAAGATTTGCCACCAGAAGTTGAAAAAGTTATAGATGAATATGTGGACCACATTTTATCGAAAGGTTAACATTTACTGTTGCTTGAGTATTGGAAGAGGAAGGGAAAAGCATTATTTGAGACTCAGCTTCCTGAAAAAATTTCTGTCGATAAGCATTATTTTAGCCACTGCCAACAATGAACAAGGTTCCAAGGTTGATAAGCTTTAGCTAAAAATGACCCGCTGACAAACAAAATCTGAATTATCAGTGCTCACTCTAGCATATGAACATTGGCACTCTGTCTGTCCTTTCTCGAAATGCGCCGTGGGTGTCGTAAGGAATGGTAGAACGTCGACCTGAAAATAAGAAAGAAGTTGTACTATGACACCTAATTTGTGGATTGTTCAGAATAAAACAGTACCTTATCAATTATGTTGCATATTGGTGACTACACGCTGCGATGTATAGATGTGAGTTCGCACGGGAAATTAACTATCTAACATGATAGTTTTCACTCACGCAACACGACCTCGGTCACTCCCCCAACAATCACCTCCCCCCAACGCGCCCGTTCGCTCACTCACCTCCCTCATCACCCTCTAATCCAATCTCTTCCGTCCTGAACCCTCCGCCTCGGCCGCACCATCCGCCCACTTAGTCCATTGTCTGTGAATGTCACTCCATCAGGGTCATCCTTGACAGGATTCCGCCAGGACCAATGACTCGAACGCACCAGCCCCATCCGGTTCAGTGCGCGGCTCTTCTCGCACAAGCTCACTCGCCTCCCCTTCCCCTCAATATCACATAGAACAAGCCGCTCGCAGGGGTAATATACTTCGCCATATAGACTCTCATTGTCGATTCGAAAGGCTTTCATTTATCAGGCAGAATGCATGGCAACAGAGGAATAGAGCGAAAAGAACCATTTGATTATTCGTTATAATTTTCTTAACTTCAAGAAGGTTCAGAGAGATTGGTCATATTCACACGGTTACGAGACTCGCTGAAGTGTTGCGAGAGTACCAGGCTGACGCGTTCATAGACTTGAATAGTTTTCGACTCTCTGTAGACAGGAACGGTCAGCTAGTCCTTAGGCAACCAGTGCGTTTCGATTCAGTACATAAGGACTTTTGCAAACCCAAAGCAAGTTTACGACCAAATTCACCATGCATGCGGATAAGTCATCATCGTCGTGCGTGAGTGCATAGAGCAGTGGCTTTTGACACCAAATGATTGAAGACGCAACACTTCTCTAAAAAACGCTCAATAGCTGGAGGGAACTGAATGAATGGCGACGGCAGCCGTACCAAACTCTCTTCGCTGACGACATTCTCATGACACCGAACAGCGAAGAAGCAGAACGAATACTGCATAATTTAGACAGCGCCTGCAATTCAATCGGCTGCGCTCAAGGCAATTCCTGGAAAGAAGACAAAACACGTGCAAGATCACCCGTTCGAGAGAGCGCGCTGACATTGAGATGGGTGGCAGCGTTGCAGCAGGGGCCGACGGTTGCAGGCCGGTGAGGATTAGCGCCCTAGCCGCGCAATTTTTGCGAAGAAGCTACAAGCAACAATTTTTACCCCGTGCGGCTTATAAACTTCAACTCGTCCTTGCCATAACTGAGAAAACAGATTTTCTCAGGCTATGTAAAAATAGCACTTAGGAACTATTTCAAAGAAGGCAAAAAACAAACTATACAACAAACTTGCAATTTTACTGCAAATTTCGAATAAGGTCCAAAGATGCTGCTGGATATTGTTAGTAGTGCGTATTGCGTTTACAAACTGATACTGCGACTGATCTTACATTGAAATGCATTACATATCAGAAGCGAGTTCGGTCAGTTGACAGTAAATTATTGCAGTGTATTAGCTGTATTAGCGAACACTTTTGACCACTACTGTACTTCACATGGACTAATCTAGGTGTGATACACCTTGCATTTCATTTTGATAAGGCTTCATGAAAGCCAAGGATGTACAAGGGCGTGCAATTTGATCGTTTTTCATTGAATGCAATGTGATGTTCTTTGAAAATTTCCTTAGCAAAAGGCCTTGTGGGCACCACATTTTAGTCCTCCTATGAGGTCCTCACCGAATAACTTTTTCCCACTGATATAATAACGACGTACGTGCCAATGCACAGTACCAATATTTCACATTTTAGGGCTAGATGGGCTGAAACAAGAGTACAAGAATCTACTCGCTTCAAGCAAAGGTCCGCCTCAAAAGATTGACGCGTTTCGGGAAAACGCACAGAGAAATCGCTATAATGTGGGTATCACAATTTTTCGTGCCTATGTTCACATTTTCAAGAAACGCTTTACGTGTGTGAAGTAGTGGCTCTTGAAGAAGCACGTAAACCTGGCGTCTGCGTCGCCGGTGAGCTTCTTCTGACCCCAACGAATGACATGTACTAGAGCGCTTCACAATTACAGTTTTTCTCCTGTATAGATGGTGTATATAGGTTTTCCTTTCGATAATGATACGCCAAACAACATGAACTGAGGAGCGACGTCTGAACTTGGTCCGCTGGAGCCCGAAAAACGTCAACAGAGAATCCACCAGGCCAAACACTCCTGCTGTAGATGACACTGATGAATTTACAATATATGGTGTCGGACAGAAAATTCACAGAAATACCAGAACACAAAGTCAAAAAAAGAAGACGAGATTCCGGATATATGACCTAGCTACATAGAGCGAAAAAGAAACTTGTCGTTGCGTGATGTGCTTACCGAATTTTTCAGGATGTTGTCTGTTGGGATGCAACACGAGTACAGTTAACTCATAATGTACCGCCAGCAACAGATTACATTCACGCGAACTGGGTGAAATTCGACAATTTCGACCGGGTATACATACTGACACAGGTATATGTATAGCACATCTATGTGAAAGGATGTGAATAACTCATGTTCTCGAAATACAGAGAGATGATTCTTCAAATGAATCCCCTTCGTATCCGGCCAGGTGTGTATGCAGTTCAAAGTCAGCACCATCCGACACCAAACTGTCATAACTGCAAGAACCGAGTGATGTTGATTCTTCCAAAACAAGGCACAGTAGAAATATGAATTCTGTTCCTGTTGAAAAAAAGGAAAAAGGGAGCTTTGCATGTGCGAGCGAGCTTATGAGATTTTCAAACGCAGGCTCCATAACAGTAATTGCCGCCCTACCAATTGCTATTACTGTACTAAGTGCTTAGTATCGAGATAGCAATTTAAGCGCCTATGATCCCATGAGGAGGTCTGTGAGGTCTGCGTTATGTCAAGTATACACCTCTAGGCGGTCATAAGCAATGCCAAGCGGCCATCACTTGACATAACAAACGAAGGAGCCTGGCATCACTTCTCTCGGCGGTCCCAGGCGCACTAGCGATGAAGCTCACTTCTCTTAGTCTTATCCCGACCCATGCCTCTAATTTGGAAGGGTGGTTTTTGGTGCTAATTGTGTTTAATTGGTGTGGAATTGTTTTTAATCTGCATTGCAGACGCACCTGACTGCCGTATACGAAGGGCGATAGTGAGTAGAAAAAAGCTGAAAATTGGGGTAGTGTTGGACTAACCAAAGTGAAAGCAGGACACCGAATCAAATAAAATTAATTCATCCTGCATATATTATGAACAATCCTTTCAGGCCCCTCTTGAAAACACAATGTAGGCTTTCTGGGCGGCATGGTTCTACATGTGGTCAAAGCCCTAGTATTGTAAATTTGACACAGGTATACAGAAAGAGACACAATATTTGCAACCACTCACTTCTACTCATTGCATCTGAAGAGCTTCAGAATTCTAGAGTTGGTTGGAGTGAAGTTTAATAGCGCTCAGCAACTCTATGAACACCTTCGGAGGGAAAATTAAGGCGCCGGCTATCACGGTCGGGAAGGCTTCTTGTAATCCGGAAGGTGGGCTCAAAGCGTAATGGGTGACTTGTACGGTAGCCGTAGCAGAGGATAAAAATGATATGTTTGGAAATTTCGTATCTCACCTTTCAATCTGAGGTGACGTTATGTAGAGACCTAAAAGATAGATCATAGTTTCGTTTTCACCAAGATCACACGGTAATTTTAAGGCAAGTGCCTTTTGTTTCAGGTCAGGGTGAAAACAGGTCGATACGTGAATGACAGTACAAAATAATCCGCTAGCATGTGTTATGTTCGGTGTGTGGTGAATAGTTGCCTTAAAACATCTGAAGCATCTTCCCCAAACCCAATCGCATCTGTGCTTCTATCGGGCGCGGGGCAGGAGGAGATCAAATACTTCACCACTTTGTCCCTAAACTTGCTTTTGTCCCCATTGAGACCATACCCTCTCCAAAGATCACGGCAAAAGCAAGAAAAGTACTGAAGTCCTTGACAGGCTGCAGCAAGATCGGACTTGTCCTATTCCCCTTTCGAGATTGGATGGCTCCTTACCAGCAGAGGCTGACTGCGACGTCAGAGAAGGGTTTATTCGATGCGCGCAGCTGTGGGGCTTGAGTACAGCAATTCGGCTGGCTTTAGCTACTCTTTCTTCTTTGCTACGGTGAAAAAGAGCTGCCCAAACACATTTTTGTAATGGGAATCGTGTAGTATAGGGTGTCCCATGAACATTGCACCAAATTTTGAGCTCAAATTCTGTAGGTGTTGATAGCTTTTCTTTCGAGATTGGCAGATCTCTCAATCCTATATCCTCTTGACGGGGGTCACACCAGCAAGAGGTACTGACTCATAGATAAGCAGTCACGCTATCTTTGTGCCGCTACCGCGGCCTATCGTGGACCGCAAACAAGTTCGTGACGTGTGTGAGAATAGCCGGGAGTGTGAGCGAAAGAGCGCAGGGACCCGTGTGGTGGAAAAGGTTGACCGAGGGGAGCGCGGGAGTTTTCTATTACCAGCCAGTGAAGAGAGTGGCGGTAAGATAACAACTGCTTCACAGTCCATTATAAGTTGCATAAGCACCACTGCTCATCCCAACGGGGAGGAGGGAGCACAGCAGAGACAAAAAGTTCAAAGAGCTGGTGTCGAGGGCCGAAAACGGCGATTACGCAGGCACCGTTTCATTGACGACAAATCCTCCATGACGGAGCGAAGCGCTTATACATGAGTGCGCAAGAGTGTTCTGAGCTGAAGTCCAGTAGAAGGGGAGACGATAGATTTGCCATAAGCAGTAATCAAATGATCGCTGATATGGGCGGGGGGTGCAATGTTCACCGGGCGCTCCCAACACTGCCGTGTGGTGAAACTGTGCTTACTAGACAGAGTCAAGATGAGGGATTCGGCTGAGCTCATAGTGGAGTGTACCACAATAAGTTGACTGTCGACTTCTTTGAGCAAGAACACAAGAAAAGCTGAAAATGTCAGTAATTCTACTTCTTTAAGGAGATTGAAAATGAAAATCAGAAATGTGTAATGTACTGGCCGCAACATGCCGGAAGTTTCAATACGTACAGCAAGGTCTTTGTCAGTACGAAAAGGGGGTCAGCCATTTTGAAGACGTTTTTGAGATTGGGTGAAACTTCCAGTCGAGGGGGGCACTCCATTGCTATCTTATCCGTAGTACTAGAGAGCAGTTCTTTGGGCTATCGAACACTACGGATAAGATAATAAGTGAACGACTCATTTCTCGAGCGTACTTCTTGATAAGGACCGGTGGATGTCCTACATTCCACACTACCTGCCCACATCCCATCCACTTTTCTGCACAGGTGATCCACCCTGGAGCTCCTGCACCCTTAGCCCTTTGCGGAGGTGTCCTTTCTCCTGGTCCAGGACCGTTCCCTTGGGTCATGGCAGGCGGAAATGTGAAAACGTTTCAGGGTTTCTCACCCATTACACCAATATTTATCAGAAGTCTACTTTAAATGAGTCGATTACGTGTCGTGAGCCCTCTAATCCTTATCTTGAGTATTGGAGAAAAAATGGAGTGGCCCCCCCCCCCGAACTGGAGTTTCACCGTTTTTAGATTGCTGGTTTGGGATGAGTGGTCAAATTATTGCAACATGCCAGAGCGATCACACGAAAATACAGTAAATAGAGCGCTTGACATTGACCAGTCTTCGAACGATTGCTGTGGCAGATTCTCTGAATTCACATTCAATCGCCTGAGAGTCAGGGCCAATGCCTGTTCCAGAGCCATTTGACTGTCCAACTCCCAAGGAGGGTCAACCACAAGTTTCAGCAGGCACTTTTGGGTCTGTAGCGATCGCCGTTGAAGAAAACTGTGAAACTTTTCAAGTATTGTACTTAACTTGCCAGATACATGTATACAACGTTATATCATAAAATACAAAGTGAAAATTGCATATCGAAGAGCAGGAGCGTTTAGGTAGAGCATCAAGAAAACTTCGTTATTTATACTATAGAAGTACTGCCTGAAGGTTGCTCAAATTCACATATTGTAAAAATGATCCATATGCCAAACTGGCCCGATAAAGGGATGCCACCAAGTGGACGGCATGTGCTACGACTTTTACGAAGAATAGTGGTAAGTTGGATCAACAGTTCTCTGAATTCAAATCGAAAAGCTTGACGGACTACGGACCATAATTTGCCACTGTCCACACAGGCTGAATTTTGTAATCGCATTCTGCCGATTGTGAGTCCTCCCATGATCCTCTGTGTCGCTCCGTGTCGCTCTCGGCGTCTTAGTGATGGTGCTTCGACATGGTGTCGTTGAACCTGATTCTCCTCACCATAAGAAAGGCTTGTCAAGCGTCAGGGCTTGAAAAGAAATGTGTGAATTGTGAGATGGCAAAATTTGCAATAATTTCTGTCGTTCCCAACTCACGTTGCGTCTCGAGGTTTAGAATAGAATGTTAGTGAAAATCCTATGTTATTGCCTTATAAATTACAAACCTACTACCACCTTCCTGCAAAAAATGATCACAATAGAGAGAACTGCTTAACAGCTGCTATGAAAGCGCTGTAGTGCACTTATTCCAGGACTGGCATAGAAAATTACTCTGCATTAGTCAAAATTGTGATTAAATTAAAAGAGGCAGGGTTTTGTTAGTGTTTCATAGCGCTTGGCTTGAGCCTTTTCCATTACTTCAAGATGCGCGACGGGGGATCATGTCATGTGTAACCTACATGTTCTTTGCTTAGTCGTCATCGGTGGACCAGATTCTTCAGCGCGCTGGGAATGCGAGTGGGACTGCCCCTCAACTTCTCTTCACTGACGGCGTTCATTGACGTCGTCAACATCGCTCGCTCTCCAACCATTGTGATCACTGCCTTTAAGTAAGCCTCAGCGCTCATGTCAGTACTCCCTTTGCTTTCTATGCTTAAACTGAATCACCACACAAACCTGCTTTGGGTCGCCTGTGTAGTCGAGTAACCTTCACAGGTAGTGATCACGGAACTGATGGTGATGAGCGGTTTTAAAGAAGAAACATGAAGATTCGTCAAAAAACAGAGAACTGAGGACCCTCAGTATGCCCACTGACTTTGTTCAAGGCGGTTGAGATGCTAGCAATTTGGATGAGTGTGTCCAGACAGAATATATGAGTTGACATAATGAAGCCGTTAGGTGCCAGATGCATCTTCAAAATGAAAACCGAACAGGAATGACAACAATTTCACAGAGTTCAATAGCAACTCTTTGAAGCAAGGCGGTTTCGAAGGAATTGGATAGGCTTCAGGTTTTGAGCTTCAAGTGCGTCGTAAATAGTTTAAAGGCGAAGTTCGGGCTCAGACCCACCTAAGAAGCCCTTACCATGGCTAGAAGTGCTGGGTACGCAAGTGCAAAGGTAGCGCCACCTTTCTACATCGAAACGCGTCACTAGGACCCTAGGCGCCATGGACTTCTAACAGACTCCACCAAACTTAACATGGTCCGCCCACCGTTCGATATCTTGTCTGCGTCGCCACGTTGATCTGCTATGCTCTCTCTTCTCGGACTTCTCTACCACTCTCCGCGCTCACATTATCTCTCATCTCCCTGCCTGTCTTTTGAACTTCTCCACAGCATGGAGCAAAATGCTCGTATTTCCTGTGTATTTCAGGATTTTCTTTCCTTTTTTCTCCACTGGCGGTCCACCTTCCACCCCTACTTTCACATTTGAGTGGAATCACTCCATCAATTCAATCCTGATTCTTGCCTTCAAGTGTCTATGCACTTTCAGTCGAGAAAAGTCGTACCTTGCTTCCTTTCCCTGCCTGCCACTTCAACCGATGCATATATATACAGGGGGCCAAAAAAAAGAGTCACTTTGCCTATGGCGCATATCATCAAACTTTTCGTCGCAAAGGATGCCGCTGTTATTTGGGAGTTATACGGCAAATTATTCCTTAGATGTCCCCCCATAAGCAGAATCAGGCCCACCTTCGCTGCGTTCACCGTCTCCAGAATATGACGTCATCTGTCATCACCGTCGAGCTTAAGGAGGCCTACAATAATCGCTCCATTCTGAAGCTGCTACATAAATTCTTCAATCGGATAACTGGTGAATGACTTCTTAGAGACACTAGCTCTGACTATGCAAAATGGCTTTTGACCAGCGTTTCAGAGACGTCGTAATCATCTATGGTTTCTCGACGACCCCGTTGAGCTCGTACCGCGAACCATGTTTCCGTGGGAAAATCTTCTGGTGTCGTCGGTGTAGAAGGCCACTATGCAATGTTTTTGATAGAATAGAATGTGCTCTTCAATATGCAATTGAGCTCATTCGGTTTGGTTTTGGCAAAGTGTAATTAATTCTGTTTTGAATGTGAGTAGGAGTGACTCTTTTTTTGGCCCCCCTGTATAATACACGGGGGCCAAAAAAAAAAGACATTTTGCCTATGTCGGCTTCGGCTCTTTTTTCTTCGTAGAGATTGCTTTCGTTGACGGGAGTTCCTCAGCAGAGTATTCCCTAAGTGTCCCTCTATAAGTGAACGCAAGCTCTCCTTCACTGCCCTC